GGAAAGCGTGAGTTGGCTCGAGTGCCTTAGTGTCCCACCAGTGACAATATAATACAGCCATATCTCACTACTATGAGTGTGATATTGCGTTTTTACAACAGTTCAATGGCATAATCGTGTGTATAAATAAGAAAATCAAACAGAGAATCTAAAAACCCTTTTGTATGAGGAACTACTTTCTTCCGCCATTCATTCACATCTTCAGCTGACGTCAGAACAGCAGAAACTGTTCATTCACCAACGTAACTTTAGAGCTAGTGTTTGAATGATTCTCTAGCGTAATGTCTAAAGTGATGACAAAACAGCTTTTGAGGACATTTTAAAATTATAAGACTGAACAGCATGAAATGCCATCAGTCTACAGAGATTTCCCAGTATTTCTCTGTTGCAGAGATCGCAATCATTAACACAGAAAAAGTCAAAGCAAAGGAAACATTTACATTTACATTACATTTACATTTAGTCATTTAGCAGACACTTTTATCCAAAGCGACTTACAAATGAGGACAAGGAAGCAATTTAGACAACTATAAGAGCAAGATTATAGAAACACTAGAAGAAACACTAGAAGAAACACTACCAGACTATAGTATAAACACAGCACTACCAACAAACAAAAGAGACAGATTGACTTAGAATGTCATTTACCTGTTTAATGATGATTTGTTCAGCTGTAGTTTGAAATTACCCTGAGTTTTTCTCCTCTAAGGGCTTATTATACAGATTATATATCTGTCGCACCTTGTGGCTGATGGCCGCTTACGGGCTGTCTCTCAAAAATTATTAACATTTTAAAATAGGCACTATCCTCATCAATAAACTGCATAGTTGCAATCTAAACAACTACATTATTCACTAAAAAAGCCTCAAAAGTACAATATGTTGTCCAACAGCGGTGATATTTGTCAAACTGTAGCGAGTTTATTAATCTTCAGTCACTCTATGTGGGCGGAGTAATACACAAGGGTGAAGAGGCTTTACGAGTGCTGTTATTGCAGAATATTGCACAGCTATCAGAAAATCAGAGAACTGGAGAGAACTGTTGTATAAACATTCGTCATTAAATTTTAAAGTGATGTTTTTTTTATTTGCATTAAAGCTCATAAACGGTTTAAGGAAACTGCAAACGCTTTAGTTTGGATTGACATCACTCAGACTGCGAGCTGCTTTGCATGAAAGCGTCTGTCAGATGTAAATGCTGCATGCAAATGAAGAGTGTCTGAACTGTACTGCTATTATTAAAAACAAGACGGGTTTCTGGGTGTAGTGTTTTGCAGACCTCTTTAAAGGCGTCCAGCAGATCACCAGCCTCCTTTTTGTTCAGATCCTTCATTTTCCTCTTCTTCTTTGGCACAGAAACCACTAAAAACACAAACACACACATGATTAAACAAACAAACACACACAAACAAAAACACACGAAAACACAAACAAGTGCACACACACACACACACACACACAGACACACACACAAACACACACATAAAAACAAACAAACAAACACACCTATATCAGGCTAAAAATATCAGGCTACCTCAAAGTCCTCGATCCACAGAAAATAGGCCTGTGCATTTAATTATGGTTACGCTCCAATTCTTATATCACAAACCTCTGTCATTATCTTTAAAAGAAGTCATTAGAGATTATGTTTTAAATGTCTGATTGTCTTTAGACTTTGTGTGCTTTAATTTCGTGGTTCATGTGTGCGCGCTGAAAGATTATGTGCATTTTAGGGTGCTTTCACATCTGTAGTTCGGTTCATTTGGTCCGGACCAAGGACAACAAATAATACATTGTGACATTTTCTGCCATCTTGAAGTAATTTTCACAATACACTGCTGGCTTTGGTCCGAACCAGTTGAAAAGAACCAAAATGCAGTCATGTGACAAAACCCACATCACTCATTGGCCAGATGTTGTTAAATGTATTTCCTAAACTGCTTATCGATTGGTCAGAATTAATTGCCAATGGAACTCCCGCAGGTAAACAAACCGGCAGAAACAAAATAACGCTTTTGACTATGGAGCTACGACTGCGCTAGCTGACTGTATCCCTGGTCATTGTATATACTATATAGTTTGTATATGTTGTGGATTTCCAGTCTGATCTCACGAGGAAACGTAGGTAATTTACGTTTTGTCAGTTTAGTGGCTAATTTGTTCGAATTCGTACGAGTTCAGTCGTACGAAAATGTACAATTTTAAAAAAGGAGGCATGGCAGCTAACCCCAACCTGCATTGGGTGATGAGCAAATCGCACTGAATTGCACAAATCAGATCGTCCGAATTCATACGAATTAGCCACTAAATCAAAAAGTTACATATTGCCGCGAGATTGTGTTGGAATTTCTCTCTTTAGCTCACGCCACCAAAACTGTTGTGAAATTCTAAGGCAAGCAAAAAAAACCAGGGAGAACTTTCGGGTATCTTCAAAGCAGAATCCTTTAATAAGAATTCAGCAACGCTGTGGCGTTATCGAAAGAACTCTGAACTAGTAGAGCAGACACTCGGTTTAAATCAATTTTTACAAACAAAGCATGCAAATGAAGTGTTGTTGTCAGCAGGGTAAATTGCCTTTCCAGTCTCGACGTCATCAGCATATATGTACCCATTAACGATACATTTCAGCAAGAAAACAAAGAGTGCAAATGGGGTTCTGGAGACAGAACCCGTTCGACCAGTTGACCGACTTGACTTACCATTTGTTAGACAATAGACACAGCTGTGCTGTGAAACTGACAATTTGCATTACTTTGGAGACAGTCAGGGCTCAGGAAAGAGATTTTAAGGTCTGTCACACCCTAAAAACCAAAGAATATAACTTTACAGTTATATATAGACTATTGCTAATTTGGAACTACATTATATAAGTTTATAATCCCACACATACATAACTTTAGACAAACTATAGTTTGAGAATGAAGTCCGGCTGAAAAACAATGTTTTAAAAGCAGCATTGCAAACGGCGAAGGTGCATTGCACGTCACTTCAGGAGGAGGCGTGAATTAATTTAGATAAACATGGTCATCTTCCGGAAATATTTCCAACAATCCATCAGGTAATGTAACTCGGTTTTGGTTCCAACTCGAATGCGATTGCTGCATTCACATCTGCCCAAAACCAACTGCACCATGAGGGAAAACGAACTCTAGTGCGATTCAACCGAACTAAATAAGGCAGGTGTGAAAACAGCTTCAGTTCAATTGCATTTACGTTGAATGAACTCTTATGTGATCAATTCTGTGTATGTCGGGGTGACCTGTGACTCAACCCCCACAAACTGATAACTGTGAACTAAATGATTCTTTTATCATGGGTGGGAGCCTTTGTAGTTCTCAATGGGTATAAGCAAAATGACAGCTGAAACATCTGATAAGACGGTCTTGCTGAGGCTAAAACTAAGACGAAAACACAGAATAGTTTGTTAGATGCTTGTATAAAGTTACTTGAAGACCGACGATTTGACATCAGTGTTGAGGAACTGCACTATTCATTGTCTTCAATAAAGATTTCTTAAGTGAAAACTTATACATAACAGGAGAAACCTCTAATCAATTAAAACTACTTATACATAATATTATTAAAATAAAATGGACTAAAACAAATAAAAACTAAAATAAAACCTGAATCAAAACCCAATAAAAGTCCAAAAATAGCAATAAAATGGCCGTCGTAAATTCGGCACATACCTTGCATAGCAGTCTCAGAGGGTGTGGTCTGTGTAGGGGGCGTGTCCTCCCGCTCTTCAGTCGGAGGGGGTGTGGCTTTAGAAGCAAATGTGATGACCTCTGACGTGGCAGTGACAGGTGGCTCTTTGATTAGCGGTTCCGGGGTCTCCTTGGCAACAACAGAAGGTGTTTCCTCGACCACAGATGGAGTTTCAATGAAAGGTTCAGTAGGAATCTCCTCGACAACAGGAATCTCCTTGACAACAGGAATCTCCTTGACAACAGGAATCTCCTTGACGACAGGAATGTCCTTGACGACAGGAATGTCCTTGACGACCGGCATTTCCTTGACTTCTTTGACAACAGGCGTTGTTTCCTTGACTACAGGCTCTTTCACATCAACTGCTGCAGGCGTCTCCTTGGCAACCACAGGCACCTTGACGACAGGAGCGGGAGTCTCCTTGACAACCGTTGGAACAGGCTCCTTGACAACCACCCGGAGCTGGCACTTCCTTAACGATCGCAACAGGAGTCTCCTTGATGACCTGAGGAGGGATTTCTTTGACAGTTCTATCAGGGATTTCCTTGGTAACCGGTAGTGCTTCCTTAGTGACGTCGGGCTCTGCGATTGGACTGACGTCTCTGTGGGCGGATCCCACAAAGACGCCATTGAAAAGCTGGAGCTCTTCAGGCTGCGCTATTGGAGACTCAAGCGCTGGCTCCAGATGTGGGGTGGGGAGAGGAGGGGTTATAGTTACAGGCTCCTCCTCTTTTATTTGAGTGGGTGTGGCCTCTGCACCGTTAGAGGAAGGCGGTTCCACTAAAATGGGCGTAAAGTGGGCGTCGTCTGCAGGTGCTGGAGGCGGGGCATCTACCGTATCGCTTATGGGACTGGTAGGAGGCGGAGTTGGAGGCGTGTCTGGTAATGGGCTTTCACCTGGAGGGATGGGAAACTCCGCTCTGGTTGTCATGATGACTGCGGATGTGGAGCTGTCACCGTTGGGCTGTGCGTTTTAAATACAAAAAATATATATATATTAATTATTTGTAAGTCATCGTTTATTTTGTGGTGTCAAAATACATTGTTTACTGTAATTTCGTTTACCCCATTCCCTTATAGCGCATGTGTTTGGACTGTGGGGGAAACCGGAGCACCTGGAGTAAACCCACACCAACACTGAGCTGAGGCTTGAACCAGTAATCGAAAAAACATTGCTATCTCGATTCGACCCCCCAGGACCAGAGGTCTCGGTCCTGGAGGGATGGTGTCCTGCATAGTTTAGGTCCAACTTTTGACAACACACCTGCCTGGAAGTGTCTAGTATACCTAGAAAGAGCTTGAGTAGCCGGTTCAGGTATGTTTAAGTGGGGTTGGAACTAGGTTTGGGCGATGTAGATCAATTTGGCATTGTACGATGTCTAATGTGAAACATCGCGATGGACGATGGCATCGTAATCATGTGAAAAGCGGGTGAGGGCAACGTGTCTGAAGAGCGAGGAGGGATCCGGGGGTGAGAAGGGTGGGCGACTTATTTGAGGAGCGGGAGGGAGACGCGTGATTTCCGGGAGATTATCACTCGTTTAATATCACGTTTAACAACTATAGTAAGAGGCGATCCAGCGGTACATCCTTGATAAACTGTCCGACGCGCACTGCTCACTGGAGCTCAGAGGAGAGCATGTTCGTGTCTGTGTGGCTGTGTCTGTTTGTGTGTGTGTGGTCACCTGATGTGCATGTTCAGTGGATGGAGGGCTGTTCAGAGATGCTAGGTAAAACACGGCATGGATGTGGATCATTTTTGTTCTAAAATGCCTTTTTAACACCAAGATGTATTAGTGTAAACAGGGCCTGAGTGTGTATTTTTCGCGAGCGGGTTTGCGGCGGGGCGGAGGATCGGCAATTGTGTTGTCTATTGGCCATCAGCGATGGACAATGGCATAGTCTATCGGCCCAACCCTAGTTGGAACTAAAATATGCAGGACACCGGCCCTCCAGGATCCAGTTTGGGCACCCCTGCCCTACACAATCTTAATCCAGCATTTCTACAATTCTGCCAATCATATTTTCAAGTTCAGGAGAGAAGCGTAAAGGCGGATGCACAAGTCTTCACATTGTTTTATATACGTTGCTGAGCAACACATTGGATAACTCCAAATGATGTTGAAAGCGTCACATACTGTATTTATAAGGTATAATTCTCCCAAAAATGTCATTTCTGTCTTTATATAATGATGTATTTGCGGCTGTGAAATCAAACGAGACGTAAGCTGCTGACCAAGAGCTGCCACCACAGAAAGGGCGCACCCTACTTAATAAAATTGACCTTAGTGAACAGAACCTGCATAGGCTGGGAATAACAGGTAATACAGTTGTGAATAACATTCAGTTTGTGTCAGAGTGATCGTTTGGGAGCTGCGCGGGATGTATGAACAGCACTTAGCAGTGAAAATGAAGCCGAAAGAGCGCGCATCATTTACATGATTATATCACATTTTAGAGTAGTGATTGCGACAAGAATTTAATATGCTCTTCTTTCATAGCGAACACAGAGTTGTGCATGACAATAAAGGTTTACAGTGTCAGTATTAGGCAGAGGACCGTTTTCAAGGTATACCTCAGTTTGGAAAAGTCAAGGCCAACATTTTCTGCTATACTGTTCCTAAGGTATGTGTAAGATTGTTTATTTACATTTTTTCCCAGATTTTAAGGAAAACAGTATCGCCAGCAATATATATATATATATCCAAAGATTTATGGACAATTTTAAAATCTGTTTTTGAAACTAATGAGGAGAGCAGCCTGACATGTTTACGGCTCCAAAATATTTCAAATGTTTCTTAAAATAAAATGTTATAACAACAGGAATCAGTCCAAGGCACTCGAAAAATAAAAAATAATCATACGCAAACATACACCTGAATAAATGAGAGACAGAGAGAGAGAAAATAATAATAATAAAAAAATATATATATATATTTTTTTTTTTTTTGTGTGTGTATGTATGTATGTATACACACACACAAACACACACACAAACACACACACACACACACACACAAACACACACACACACACACACACACACACACACACACACACACACACACACACACACACACACACACACACACACACACACACACACTTTTTCTCTCTCATATATGCAGGTGTATGTTTGCGTATGGTTATGTCACCCTCTATCTATGATGAATTATTGATGATAGTTGACTTTGTTTGTTAACTTATTTGAGTGTTGTTTGAGATGTTTAAATGAGTCATGTGACCGAAGTACTCAAAAGAGACTCTAGACGCACCTGATCACTGTTACCCTGATGAATGCAGATTCTTGTTGAAACGAGTAGGTTTTTTAAGATTTAGCCATGTGAATAAAGGCTTTTTAAATTTTCCTCATTTTTCGAGTGCCGTGGACTGATTCCTGTTGTTGTTTTGATGAATCCCTTACCCAAAGAGCACCGACCAAATATTTGAGTCACCTCTGAGCGCTTTTTGTTTGTTTTTCTGGATAAAATATATTATGTTCAAAGGGGAAAAAAGGATGACTTCTATTGTGAAATGAGTATTTTGTCATGCTGCACAGCCCTATTGTTAACAAATAACGATAGAACATGAACACTAAAATGAAAAAAAATGATGTAAATGATGACATGAACATTTCTAGCTGATGGAAAAAAAAAGGATTTTAGTCATTTGGGCCGGCATCAGTGTGAATAAATAATGACCAAGATGAACATTAATAAAGTAAATCACGACAGCAAGTGAATGAATTAAAAAATTCAGCTTATATAAAGATTAAATAATGAATCATGCAGGCTGACATTATTGAGGAACAGATGAAACAATCATTATTTTTTTAAGTAACAAAAACTTATGAGTAATCTGGACTGAGAGGAGATTAAGTAAATGATTTAATGTCAATGAGCACGTCTTTTGTTCTTTTTAAAAATGATAATTAAACGGCATCTGGATCAACATGGGTGTGTCAATGATGAAGAAAATGTTAATTGTTTTTTGGCGAAACTAAAAAGATTAAGTTATTTGGACTGACATGAAAGAAAAGGATGACAAACTCCATATTAATTTATGCAAATGAAGATGACTTGTCTACTGTGTCTTTATTGTTTGCAGTATACTTGTGCTGACATTAGGAAAAGTGCATGAAATGTTAAACAAAAATTAAATTGAATTTAAAGGTTTCTTGGACCAACATGAGAATGGACAAAATGACAAAATGTTAGTTTCCTTTTATTTAAAAAAATAACTAATTTAATATTGTTATTCAAACCTCAAAGTCCTACATGAAAAAAAAACTATGTACAGTAAATTCTACAGTGTCTTCGAACCTGACTATATTGCATCATGGCCATGGCTTCTGTCTGCCCGGTGTCTGTAGCTTTGTTGCTAAATAGCTAACATGAGATTTTACAGAGAGAATAACAGTGTTTATGTGATTTATGAAGGCTGAAAAACAGCATCGAATCATTTGGAACCGTGTCTGAGTCCACTAGATCTTTTGTGAGCTCAAAAACTCCTCCAGAAACTGAACCTGGATGGAGGCTTTCAGCGGTGTTTCAGACTGAGCAGAGCCTAGTTTGATCAACTGTTGTTCAGTGTTGGCAGAAGGATTTTCCGCTGGGACACCAACAATAGGCGCTATGTCATAATCACGCCCCAACAAGAGCAAGCTCCAGATTGGTTAACGCGGCGCGAATGTCTGCTGAAGTTCAGATTTTCAAATTCAAGCAATATGCGTGAAACATGCGATACTCGCGTTATGAAAAAAAGGCTCAACTCATGCCGCCTCATTTGTGCCACCTCATTTGCGCGTATTGTGCCGCAGGATGTCTATTAGCATCTTTGCATTGACTTAAAATGCAAACTATCATGCTTGACGCTTCTTCCGCGTCTGGTGTAAATGCAGCATTACAATATTTAATACTTTTACAGTACTGTGACGGTTAAGTTTAGGGTTGGGGTCGGACTAGGCATTAAACTATACAATTTATTGGGTAATTTAATACATAACATAAATAATACTCTGTACAACTACTGTTTTTACGTTACTGTGAGGGTTAGGGTAGGGCTAGGCATTTAAATATACAATTTATTGGGTAATTTAATACATAACATAAATAATACTCAGTACAACTACTGTTTTTACGTTACTGTGAGGATTACGGTAGGGCTGGGCATTAAAATATACAATTTATTGGGTAATTTAATAGATAACATAAATAATACTCTGTACAACTACTGTTTTTACATTACTGTGATGGTTGGGTTTAGGTTCGGGGTGGACGTAAATGTTAATAAAATACAATAAATGGGAAATTTAATAATTAATATCAAAAATTCTTGTAAACTTCAGGCCACAACCTTATGCAATCTAGCAACCACCCTCTTAATTAACGAATGTTCCATCATATTGTAGTTGTAACCATAGTAAACTGACAAACTCTATAAAAATACTGTAGTACACTTTAGATATTGCTACAGTAAACTAGTGTATTGAAGTATATTATACCTTATAGTCATTTGTTTATATTCCTATCGTTGTTGTATAACCATGGCAACTGTAAAATCACCACAACAGATCAATTACTATAGTTGTTACCATGGCGACTGTAGAATCACCACAACAGATCAATTACTATAGTTGCTGTGTTACCATGGCGACTGTAGAATCACCACAACAGATCAATTACTATAGTTGCTGTGTAACCATGGCAACTGTAGAATCACCAAAACAGATCAATTACTATAGTTGTTGTGTTACCATAGCAAAAGTTAGAATCACCAACTGATTAATTAGAGTACTTTATTATAGTATTGTTCAAAAACATAACAGTATTTTCTTTTTATTACTATTATTTTTTCACTTGAGATGAGTGTGATTTACCTGTGGAGGCGTCGGCGTGGAGCCGCTGCGTCCTCCTGACATGATCTCCTCTGTAATGTCACGACCACCCTGGTTCGGGTCTCTGATCCGGATCTACACACAAACACATATTAAAGGCACAATAAGTATTTTTCACCACTAGAGGGAGTGTATTAACAACAAACAAAGATGCATTTTAATTACTTTTAATTTACATTGTTGTGAAACTAGGCAAAGTTTTATGAATTTTACATTGTCATTTTAAAACTGCTCATGATCGCCTGTCTTTTAAATATTAGAACATTACAAATGTTTAGAATGTTACAAATGTTACAAATTTAGAATGCTACAAATGTTTTGAATGTTACAGTGTTACAAATTTAGAACAATAGTATTACAAATGTAAGAAATTTAGAAAGTTACAGCGTTATGACGTTAATAATGAATATAGAATGTAACGATTGAAAAACTAACAAATTTAGAATGTTACAATGTTACAAATGTTTAGAATGGTAATTTTTACAAATGTTATAAATTTAGAATGTTATGTAACCCACCGGTTTTACTGCACCCAACCTGGTTTGAGCTAGGATCGAACCGGCGATTCTTTGCATGGGAATCAGTTGCTCTAACAAAAAGGCTAAAGACCATGGCCACTAGCGTCTATCGCTAGAGCACCTTTTAGAGGTTAGAGGAGTGAGGTTTTATTTGCATAGCACTTTGCTAGCTGGCCTCTTTATTAGTTAAAAATGTTTAGAATGTTATGGTGTTATACATTTCTAATTTAAAATGTTACAAATGTTTAGAATGTTACGGTGTTATACATTACTAATTTAAAATGTTACAAATGTTTAGAATGTTATCATTACAGATGTTACAAATTTTGAATGTTACAGTGTTACAAATGTTACTTAATTTAGAACAATAGTGTCACAAATTAAAGAAATTTAGGTTACAGCGGTTTAAAATGTAACAAATTTAAAATGTAACATTTGTAAAACAAACAAATTTAGAATGTTACAAATGTTACAAACGTTTAGAATGTTACAAATGTTTAGAATGTTACACTGTTAAAAATGTTTTGAATGTTATTGTTACAAATTTAGAATGTTATGTAACCCACTTGTCTTACTGCATCCAACCCGGTCTGAGCTGGGATCAAACTGGCTATCCTTTGCATGGGAATCAGTTGCTCTAACGAGGAGGCTAAAGAGTTGCTAGAGCACCTTTTAGAGGTCAGAGGAGTACGCTTTTACCTACACAGCGCTAGCTGGCCAGTCAGAAATGTTAAGAATGTTACGGTGTTAAATATTATTAATTAAAAATTTTACAAATATTTAGAATGTAAGTTACAAATTTTACAAATTTAGAACAATAATGTTACAAAAGTAGAAAGTTACAGTGTTACGAATGTAACAAATGTTACAATGTTACAAATGTTCAGAATGTTACTCATACAAATGTTACAAATTTAGAACGATAGTTACAAATGTAAGAAATGTATAATATTAGAGTGTTGCGAATGTTACAAACTTAGAATCTCAGTTTTACAAATGTTACAAATTTAGAATTTTCCAGTGTAACAAATTTAGAACGAGTGTTACAAATGTAAAAAGTAGAATGTTACAGCGTTACGAGAGTAACATTGTGAGTCTTAGTTTTACAAACATTACATAACTAGAATTATAGTGTTACAAATATTACAACATTACAAATGTATAATATTAGTGTCACAAATGTAACAAATTTAGAATGTTAATGTGTTTTTGTAACAAAAATATTAAACATTTTAAAAATGATGAACTCCCATCAATGACTTTAAACAAGACAAACTGTAAGCTTCACATTACTGTATAACATTATCAGGGTTCAAAGTTTTTTTTCTACTGGTCCAATCAGGCCAATGGATGAGATTCTTTACTTGCCCTGACAAAATTTTCACTGGCCCAACCAAAGGAAAAACGTAATTGAATAGCTATTTTTTTAGCCAGAGATTTTAAATACGGTGTCAAAAAAGGTATATAATTATTTCAATGTTAATAATTATTCAAATAATGTATCTAAATAATATTTTTAAAATGTTAATAAATGTATAATGAGCAAAATCCTGTGTAAACAAACAAAAATAAATCAGTATGGAAAATGTGAAGGTATTTTCTTGCAGTTCAAAATTATTTAACAAAAGGTGTCCCCAATCAGGCCAGTAATGATCCCGTCTACTGTCCCAAGCGTCTCTCACACTGGCCCCGGGCCATCAGGCAGTTCTTATTGTTGAGCCCTGATTATACAGTATATTACTCATAAAGCTGTGTACGTCTCACTTTAATACAGATCAAACCAAAATCCCCTTCATACAAACATCAATCCACTTTAGAAGACACATGTTAACCAGTTTGGAAACTTCAAAATAAAAGTCACTCTTCAAAAACATTTAACAGCATAAAAGAGCCAGGATCAAATTTAAAACCGACTGTGCACATCTGACAGAAAAAAGTCATATACACCAAGAGTGACATGAGGGTGAGTAAATTACGGAGTCATGTGAACATTTGGGTGAACTATTCCTTTAAATCTCATTGCTGCTTCCATTTTCTATAAAAACCAAACCAGAAAACCAGAGTGTGTGACATCATTAGCATAAACACACAACACACACTCAGTCTCACCAGTTCAAACTGGTTATTTCTCTGCATTTGAGCATTATTCAAACCATTTGATATAATGCAAGTACACGAGTCAGCAATATATGTAACACTGTTTCAGTTAAAAAAAAATCTTACCTATCGTGTCTTTAACATGCACCACATGGAAAAGTAAATCAGCCATCATGTAAACAACAACAAGAACAACAGCAACAGCAATCAACCAAATCCAAGACGCTTCAGGAGTGTCGTAAGACAGCAAATATGCAGTGAATGTCTCTCTCTCTCTCTCA